CAGCCCGACATACCCTGTCCCAAAAGCCCTTCATGCAGCTGCTTCATGGCAGGGATGGCTGTTCCCAAGGCATCCTGCTCCAAAGCCTTGCTGTCAAAAAGCATTCCACACTGTCTCCCCTTTTGCCAGCTTCTAAGCCTACCTGTGACCGGCTTTTTCCTCTGTATGGGATTCTCCCAAATGCATGTTGCCAAAATCAATCCCATTTTGTCTCCTTTAAGAGACACCTTGTTTATGGACCTTCCTGCATCCAGCAGCCTGTCTCGTTCATCTGGTACATCTCAAGCCAGGGCTTGTTCTGAAGCGAGTTCAGCTCCAGCAGAGTGTCAGAGCAGTAGACTGGAAAATGCAGATTCTCAGGGTGGATACGTGCAGGCTCAGCCAGGGGTGGCCTGAGAACTCCAGGCACCCCTATGCTGCGTCCTGCCTGCTGTGCTGCGATGCAGCCACAGCGCTGGCACAGTCAGCTTCTCACCCAGGGATGCTGTAATAGCTCATCCCTGAGCTGTGCTAGAGGGGATGTGGCCTCCTGGGATCCCTCTGCATGGCTCTGGGCTGCGTGTCTTGGCTTATGCAACAGCAGGCCGGCCGGGGCTGTACAGCTGGCAGGGGATGGGGACGGAGCTGGGAGCTCCGAGCCATACACAGACTGAATTACTGTGGGGCAGGGCTGGCCGGGAGCGGGGATAGGTTTTTGATAGGGTTTTGCCAGCAATGATGGTTAATAGGAGGACAATAAACTCCAGTTCTTCAGCTTCCACAGGGAACTACTAAACTTTCCAGACTTTAATTTAACAAGCAGCCCAGCCTCCTCATCACCAGCGTGCCTTGCCCTCCTCAAGACTCTCTCTCTGTGCTCCTCTTCACCTCCAGCAGTGCACAAGCCTGGAGCAATCACTTGAAGCCCGTGTTCTCAGCTACCATGCTCCTGCAGCCATCAAATTATTCTGAGGACATCAAGCCCTGCTTTGCCTCAGCCGTGATCCTGACTCATGACAACTCTCCCCCTTCCCTACTCAGCCCCACTGGACCCTCACCAGTCTGCCCCCTGCATTGCATCCCTGGCAGGGGAGCCATCTAAATGGGCTTCCAGCAAACCACCAAAGAGTTCCAAGCAAAGACATGGCCCAGGAAAACCACTGCTTTCACTCCCAGATTTTAAGGTTGTGGAGCTGATTAAGCTGAATTAAAAGGGAACTAGTTATCAGCGATTGTGAATTAGGTAGCCAACTCATCTGAGAATCAAGATTTTCTTAAAGGACTTCACACTCATGACCCAAAAAAACCAAAGGGGCAGCTGGCCACAGAGAGCCTTGTGAACCCTGCCATTTGCCTTTCTGGTCTTTTCATTGCCCACTGCTTTCCAGATGATGTTTGGATGTCCTGGAGCTGGCACAGCTTCAACTGGGTATTCCCATCATGGCTGTGCCTTTTAGGAGAGACTTTGGGGCTGTGTTTATCCATGCAAAAGAGCTGCCACTGCAGCCCAGGAGCTTCCCTCTCCCCGCATGTCCCAGGGGCTTGAAGGTGTATTCCTGTTTATTTCCTTAAGCAGCTCTATTCATAGCCTTCAAAAGCTGCCAAGCCGCATCTGTCAGGCCCAAGAAGACTCAGAAATGCATTTTAGGTAAACACCAGGAGCAAGGTGGGACTGCCCAGAGTTTGCGGTGTTTGCTGCCCTTCTCCTTTGGAAGCTTTATTGAATCTTCTGCAAGTCATAGACACATTTCCAATGCAAGGTCTCGACAAAAGTGGCTTGAGACACCAGACTGTAATTCAGGCATGCAACATCCTCGTGTTCAGGATTAATAAACAACAGCCCCCTGCAGCAAGGGAGAAGTGCTTTTAGGGAAGGCAATGAGGTCCTTTGGATATTGGAGGCATTGGTCTGGGACCAAGATCAGCCAGGCTGGATGTGCCCAGACTGCACATGGGCACTTCAAAGCAGCTGAAGACCTGTCCCATCTGCCAGTGCCTGGTGTGACAGCTCCAGGCAGCCCTGTGGGGACTCTGCCACTGGGACATGGTGCAGGGCTACAGCCAGAGGGGTTCTATCTACCGCCCGCTTGGGGTGTAGCTGGGGGCAGGCACAGCTGCCACGTGCAGCACTGATACCCACAAGAGGCATCCAGGGCAGGGTAGGGGTAGCTGCAGCACACAGAGCTCCCTGCTTGCTGGGCTGAGGAAGGTGATGGATCATTTTTCCCCTGTTTCTTTGGGGTCAGTTTGGTTTCAGGGAGGACAGATAAGCTTCTCCCAAGCCTGCAGCCCCACACGTTTCCAAATGAGTGAGATGATCATTGCAGGGGTAGTTTGAAAGAGATGGTGGAGAGATCCCTCCCATGGGGCATGTGAAGTGCCTTCCACCAGCGATCAGAGGGGACAGCTGTGAGCCCACGCACACCATGGAAAGAGCCAACCATCCCCCAACAAGCATGTCCTGCCTCCTGGCTCCACAGCCTGCTCCCAGATCATGACTCACCACAGAGCTACGCACAGCTGGATTTCCACCCCCTGCCCCACAGGCCTCTGGTTTACAGCCGAAAATCCGCAATGACATCCCCTGCTCCTTCTCCATCTGCTTCTGACAGAGCCAGCACCCCATTTGCTTGCATCACCCCGTTGAGCCAGCTCACTCCCAGTCCATCTGCAGATCATTGAGGTTCAGGCTCTCCTGGTCCAGGCATTGGAAGAGACCTTGGCTGGGTGTCAGTCTGCTCAATTTGAACCAGGCATCAGTCCTACTGCTGAGCTTGGGGGGAGAGTCCCACCCCACTGGGAAGAAATACTTGCCCAGTGCAGGACAAAGACAGCCACTCTTGGGCAAGTTCCCAGGGCAGTTTGGGTTCATTCTGTCCTGTGCAGATGGTGCTTCCAGTGGCCATGCATCTGCTTAGTGTGAGTCTAGAGAGCACAGCCTTTCTGCATTTGATCTGCTTCTGAAATGGAAAAAAACAGAAACACTCCTGCAGGACCTGCTGACACACTCCCAGATCACAGGAGAGCTGGGACATTCCTGTGATAAGCAGATTCCTGTCTGCTCTGCACTTAACTCGTCTCATTTGCCTTTTCCTGAGCTGGGTGCTGCATTCCCACCCCAGCTGCCCTTGCCTTTCCCCACACTGCCCTGTGTCTGCGAGGTGCTCAGCCTCCAGCCAGACTCCCAGTGATGAAGACTTAGTAAATGACATTTCCGCAGTGGTTCCAGAGCATCCTGTTTATTTACATGCACTTTGGGTTCATTGTTTTGCAGCAGCATCCACCAGCAATTAATGCAGAAACATCCTCTCCAGAAACACTCATTAAAGAGTCCCTCCCAGAGCAGAGCAAAGGAAAGGCTCCTTTGACAGATTTGTGAGTAGGAGACAGCAGGATTATTAATCCACACCTTTATCATTTCCACCAAGCCACTCACTTGTATTTCTCTCCTCCTCTTGCAGCAGAATTGTTCCCCTCTTGGAGAGCACCAGGATTTTTTTTAACTGTACCAGCCCAGATCTGCCCAACCTGGATTAAAATGGGACAAAGAAATAGATTTGGATTTTGAACTGGGGTTAGCTGGAGTTCAAACCTCAGCCCTGAAAATCTCTTGGCTTTGCTATAAACTGAGCTCAAGCCTTGAGGGGTCTTGTTTGCTGTTTCCATTGGAGTTTGTGCAGTTGAGCTGGGACTGGGTGCTGGGAGCCCCGGGGTGCATCAGCTGTGACCAAACCACCCTGCTGGCACGTGGTCAGAGAGCCCGAGCTGGAGCTGTGAGGCCAGCAGCACTGCGAGGGCTCCCAGGGCATCCCCAGATGGCATAAGATGACCTTCTAGCATGTGTGAGGTCCATTTTTCTTCCTGGCAGCCTGACACCTCTTTGACAGTCCCACTAAGCCTTATAACTGTGGAGAGAACTTTTCAGGACTCCCTTTGCAAGCTCTGTCCTTTCTGGAGCTTCTTAAAGCTGCTGAGATTAAAGAGTCAGTCAGCCAGTTGCTCCAGGCTCGTTTCCCTCTCTGTGCGATCCCCGTCCATCCCACGGCTGACAACGCACACCCGGGCCTGGCAGCATGCCCCTCATGAGATGCAGGACCTGGCCGTCCCCACCGTGTGTGTGGAGGACAGTGGGGACCCCTCACTCCCACCCACCCGGGGCTCACCACCATGAGCTCAGGGGCCGTTGCCAGATGTGACTGCATCACTGCGGCAGGCTGCTTTTTGCTTTCGCTCAAAACCAGGCTTTAAGCCGCCACGTATATAAAGAAATCCCTGTTATAATTATCTTCCTGGCACTGTCATTTGTCTAAGCCCTTAGAAGAGGGCTTAGCTTCAGGCTACAGTGAAGTGCACTGAGCAATTGCCACGTTGTCAGTTAGAAAAGATGTGGTTTCTTTTCATTATTTTTTCCTCCCTAAAATTTTTTCCAGATGTCTTTTTCTTTTTTTTTTTTTTTTCCTTAGGAGAAGCACCAGCAGCTGTACAATTTCAATGCGAGCCGTGACTAATCCAGTGCAGAGAGCATTCAACAAGACTATTCAACTCCTCGGAGTGCAAATCAAGCAAATGAAACTTAGGCTTAGGGGATGTGTGACCTCTGGAGCCAAACTGGACCTATGAGTGGCACTGAGCTGCATGCGAGAGCTGCGGACACTTGTGGTGGGAGGAGAAGATGCTCCAGATGCCACAGGTGGTTGGCACAGTTAGAAGGACCACCACAAAGCTGACCTCCACATGGACCTGAGAGGGTCGTGTGGGGTACTTATGGATGTCTCTGTGAGTGATATCAATATCCATATATCAGCACCCAGGGATGGCTTTTGAGCAGTGTGTAGCCAAGTAAAGAAATGAGTGAAGGAGACTTTCTTATCTTGTTCTTTGCCACTAGCCTCCCGCACTGCCTGATCACAGACATCGACCATCTCACCGGGAAGTGATGATGGTTTCTCACAGCCCCCTCCCCTATCTCTCCCCTCCCCTTTCCCTCTCCATTTTGTTTACTTTTCGGTTCTTGTTGGCCCTGTGGATGATTAGCCTTACATCTGTTTCTTTCACATGCAGTAGAAGCGCTGTGAGGCCAGACAAGGAGTGAGCTGATAAAGAATCACAAATCACAAAGTAACAGACACGCCACAGAGCAAGGAGCCAGCCCAGCTCAGTGACAGGCCAGTTTCTATGTTGATACCTAAATCCTCAGCAACATCAGTGAGAAGAGTTAAACATCCACACCGGTGTCTCAGCCCCTATCAAAGACAACATGTAATCATGAGGAATGAACCCAAACCCCAGACAGCCAAGACAAAACACGATGTTGAATTTTGTTATGGGCTTGGGATGTCCTTCACCCAGCATCTGCAATCAGACCGCTGGTGCCCAGATGACTCGTCCTCAGCCCTACTGGCTACACCAGCCACCATCTTTCCAGCAGATCCTGCATCACCCTGGATGGGGCGAGGGTTGATGCTGTGGGTGGATCACAATCTGCAAAGAGCTGAACTATCTGTAGTGCTCAGAACAGCCCTGTATGTCATGGAGACATTCTTCAGGGACACCCAAAATCCAGCAATTTGACAGTTTCTCTTTTTGGCTGCTGGTTTTATTTTGCAATGCAGTGCCATGGCCATGCTGGCACATAAAGACATTCTGTCTGGTTCTGTCAGAGGACCAGATGAACCTTGAATCCTCTCAGTCACAGTAAGATTCAAGGAGAGAGGAGTTGGATTTTCACCCTGAGCATAGAAAGGAACAGATGGGGGAAGTCAACTCCAAACAGCTTTGTTGTCTGGCTGCCTCTGGCTGGGCAGCTGCTCCAGCTGACATGATCTGTAAGGTCAAAATACTTTGTGAGGTCTGAAGAGACCATCAGATTCAACTGACCAGCAATTTTTACTGTGAGTTTTGCTCTATCAGTCCAGATCTGCTGGATGATAACCACAGCAGAACGACCAACCTGCTGAGGGTCACATCTACCAGCACCAGATTTTTCTGCCTACTTGGAGCATAGTTCAGACATGTCATAACTATCCACATTCGCTGGATCATTCTTTCCTCTCCCTTCCCGCAAGGCAGTCCCAGACAGCAGCAGTGTTAGGAAAGAGGATGGAGGAACGAGGACTGTCCTGCCTTCCTCTGCATCCCTCTGAGGATGGGGAGCACCAGCTCGGGGACTGAATTTCAGGGACTGAACTAATGCTGAAATGACAGCATTTAACATTTTAATTGCAGTAGGTCAAGGTGGTAGGAGGTGCACAACCCGAGCAGAGAGCTGGTATTCCTCCCTGCTCTCCCCATGCTGTTAGTCGGAGGGAGCCAGAGAACCGACCAACTCATTGCAGCAGTGCAGGCAGCTCCTGTGACAATGACTCTGCTGGGAAGGTTGTGCTGGGGGCTCATCTGTCCCTGCGAGAGACCTCCTTGATCTCCAGTCCTGCTTGATTTCTCTGGTCTATCCTTTGGACCCAGGCTGTGCCTCAGCCCGTCTTTCGGAGTGGGTGGGACTGCCCACTGAGGAGAGAGGGAGAGGAAGAGACCGATTTGGAAAGATAGCGAGGAGGAGGAGAGGCAGCGGGAAACCCAGCCCACCCTTTGGTTTCCTCCTGCCTCCTTCTAAAACCTGCAGATTCCTCCAGCCCGTCCAAGCGCCTGAAGTTTCCTCAGCCCTGCTGCCGGGACTGCGAGGTATGGCCCGAGACCTTCGTGTTTGCCTTTGTTGTGCTGTTTTTTCCCAGCATGGGGGTCCCCATACCCCACTCGCGGGGGCCCCTGGCCCGGGAGCTGCTTTCCCAGCCCGTGGGGAGCCCACGGTGCTCGGTAGTGCATCACTTGGGGGGAAGAGGTGGATGCTCCCCACCCCGAGCGATGCATTTACAGACCCACCCTGACCTCTCTGTCTCCTCTGCGCAGCACCTCCGCTCCTGAACTGTTACTGTATTTCACTGCCAGGTTACTTGCTTTAACACTTTGGTGGCATCTGACTGTAAAGGTTTAACCTACCCTATTTTTTTTTTTTTTTCTCTCTCTCTCCCACCTTTTTCCTCTCCGGGTTTTCAGTTGTGGGGTATCTCCTTAGCGAGATGAATGAGACCAACGTCTGGGCACATCAAACCAACCTGCAGAGCAAATCAGATCTAGTTACAATCTAGTCCCAATTACTCCCAGCCTGAGGTCCATTGGCAGGTGATGTTTTACTCACCAGGATATCTAGAGGAAGAACAAAAGAGCTGTCGACTTCATCTCAGCATTTTTATTTTTTCAGTACAGCCGCTCTTATTTCTCCTAAAAAAAATAAAAAAATCCATCAAACAAACAAAAAAAACCCACCCAAAAACCCCAAACACTCGGCTTTTTGTTCCAAGCAGACTTTGAAACCATTTCAAGTCCCGCTGCCGTGGTTTGCTTCACTCCAGCTGATCAACTGTTAGAGAGATGGAGGTTGCAGGGAGGGGAAGAACAAAGCTTGTTTGGTTTGGTTTTGTTTTGGGGTTTTTTTTTTAAGTTTTAAGAACCTGGGCTCACTCGGGCAGAGTTTTAAGTCCAGGCAGAAGCGCCGAGGGTTGTTTCCTTTAAAGGCAGCCGCTGTCCTTCCCGTCCCGGTGACGTGCGTGGCAGTCTAACTCTGCTCTTTGTGTTCCTCCTCTAAGAAAGCTCCACTCTGGTGCATCCAGCCAAGAAAAGGAAACTTAACAGGATAGGGGCTGAATTCCCACCCAAACCGAAAGGCAACGCTTTCAAGTCGGACTGAAATCGGAGGCACTGGGAAGGTCACCAGTACTCCGAGCCCTCAGTTACCACCAACATGAAACAGCCCCAAAACTCGGCAACGCTCCAAAAGGACAAAAGTAAATCGCAGGCGTTTGTTAGGGTCGATCAGGCGAGGTTTAACTGGAAACAAAAGGCTGTTGCGTTTTGCGCAGCAGTTAAAGCCAAGCTATTGTCTGCCACATAGGCAGGAGCAGGGATGCGGGCGGTGTCGGGAGGGGGAAGAGGAGAAATAAACTTTTCAAACCCCTCCTTCCACAACCCTCTGCTCTTCCATGACTCAGCCCCAGAGGAATGTCGGCTCCCATGGAAACCCTTTCTGGGTCCTCTGGTCGGAGGGATGTTGGGGCTGTTATCGCTGGAGCGGCTATGGCAGGGCGAGTCCAGGGAATGCTTTGAAGATGGTTTTCATTTTTGCAGAATATTTAGCAGGCAGTCTCTTCTCTCCCTCCTTTGTGGAGCTGTGCGAGATCATGTTGCGGTATCCCCCGGGAGCCAGAGGGACCGCTTGCACCTGGCACAGAAGTATCCAGGCTGCTTTTGGCACTGCCCCGTGTCCAGTCCAAACAAAAGAAAAAGCTCAGGCAGGACAGTAAAATGCTGTATCACCTGTCCTTCTGACTGAGGTGTGCAAAGGGCTCGTCGGTGAACTGCTGCTTGCAGCCCAGGTCTCATCTATGCACTTTTCTTGGTACTAATTTAATTGTTTCTCATTACGGATGCAATTTGCAACCTAGACAAGCTATGACAGCGTCAAGCCAGCACACAGCTATAGTGGCATAGGGGCTCTTAGATCAATAAACCCTGTAAGATCGTTTATAAGTACAATCAGCTGCTCAACTCCCTGCAAGGAAATAGGTGAACCACTACGTTGCAGCGTAGATGTGTCTTTAGTGACTCTGCATGGACAGATGTGGTAGATAGATTCTTTTTCCTGTGTTTTACTTGGTGTGTGTAAGTGTGTGCATGAGCTAAAGGGAATTTCACTTCCATCTAAACCTAGCTTGGCTTTCTGAGCCCTGCTCGCTGCCTGTGAAGAGATTGCGCAGGTGTAAGGAGCCAGGCTGGCTCCTGCCCAGTCCTCTGCTCCTGCCCAGCTCCCTGTGCCCCAGCAGATGCAGCACATCTGGGTGAGCCGGCACCCCCAGCAGCACAGCCCAGACACGCAGGGACCTGTTCAGCAGGGAGCTTTATGGGGACTCACGCAAACAACTCTGACTTCATATCGAATTTTAGCCTGGGAGTGGCTGGCTGAGTAAAGCTCAGAGGGTCTTGCTTGCATCGGGAGGTCAGGGCCAGGTCAGAGCCCTTGCATTGTGTCTCTGTGGGGGCCACACTTGGCTGCCCATCGGCACCTTGAAAACTACGGCCCATGGTGGGGTTTGTGGGCAGAAGCTTTTTGGAGGTCGGTCCTGCCTTTACATTCAGTCTGAGGTGCTGGGGCATGTCAGAGCCTGCGGAGCCTTGGAAGAGCCATGAGCAAACGGAGGGTGGGTGCAGCAGACCCTGCTGCTCGGGCTGGCTGCCCCCACGGGGCTGGGACGGGGTGCTAGTGGGGAGCTGAGACATGGGTGGGCTTTTGCCCCATGATTACCCACTCCTGCTCCCCGCTGCTGTGGATGGGAGGTGGCAGCAGGGCCCCTGGCCCGGGTTAGCAGTGGAGGCAGCTAGGCTTATCCCCATGGCCTCAGGGAGGAGCTGTCAAAGTGGCCAGGCAGAGACTCCTCCCCACGCTAACGTGGCATCCCAGAGGGCTTATGCAACCCTGGCCAGGGCCAGCGCCACATGGGCCATGCTTCAGAGTCCATGGAGCCTCCTCCTGAGGCTGCACCCACCTGCTCCTTGCCCTTCCCCAGCCCACAAAGGCCCCCAGGCTGGGCAGGGGGGATACAAGAGGGACCAACAGAACCCAGTGGCACAGGCCACTCAGTGCATCACTGTGGGGTGTTTTCCGCAGCAGAAGCAGCTTATGCCACAGTATTGGCTGTTAAAAGAGTTTGACAGAGTATCCTGCATTAAATTTATGGAGGTGCTGAGGGTCAGTCTCAGACCTTGCTACACCTCATGGCTCTCATTAGGGATATGTCTGCAACAAGCAGCCTGCTCTGAGGGGTAACCTGGGCCATGCTAGAAAGGTTTATGGGGGCCACAAGACTCTGTTTGCAGCACCTGGGAACTGAAGTCCCCACTTAGGATGCAAGTGGGGTCAAGCATTAGAAAAGCAGTGTGGGCTGTGGGTCCTCCAGCCCATGAGTGCCAGGGTGTCTTCTCCATCAGCAGCAGTCAGGAGGGCCAACCTGAGGAGAGGGTGGTGACCGTGAAGGCTTCTCTTATTTTATATTCAGCAGCCGTCTCTGTGCCCACGATGTGCTGGTTTCCAGCATCTTGCGAAGTGCTGGCTTTCGTTGATTCCTTTAGGTACAGATGGGTGTAAGTCCCTGCTTGCTAAAATCTCTTTCCCAGTCCTGTTTTCCTCTGTCCAGAATGACCTCCTGCGGCACCCCATCGCTCTGCCCCTCACACTGCCCTCTGCCCCTCGCGGGGCTCTTGCAGAGCAGTGCCAGCCATTGCCAGTGCAGGGCCTCTGGCAGGGATCCCCCCAAGCCCCTCTGACTGGGGGATGGATACTGAGCTCATGGTATGGCCCAACTGCCAGCTCCAAAGAGCATCCTCCTGGATAGCAGGACCATGTTAGGTCCACAAGGAGGGACACTTGCGCCATGGGCCAGACTCCTCTGTCGGAGCAGCTCTATGCGCAGAGCTCCTGAGCTGTTATTTCAGGACTTTTGGCCACCAAGCTTTCAGGAAAGACCACGCTTTTGCCAAACAGACAAGGGCTCACAGACGCTGCAATGTCCTCTTTGCACAGGCTCTGCCTCCAGGAGGATGTTGTTTTTCAAATAAACTTGTTTTCCCATCTCCGGCGCAAGACAGCTCTGCAAAGCTTGTTTGCTCAGACTCGTGCTCCTTCTTCCTCCAAACACAACACTGGCAGCTCTGTCTGGCTGCTGGCTGCTAGCAAGCATGTAATCCCTGACCCCAGCTCTTTCTGCATGTCCAGACTTTGAAATTCAGGGATTTTTTGGGGCTTGGGGAAATAATCTAAAATGGCCTTGGTCTGTGGTTGGGTTCTTCTCAATGCCATCTTCCACAGGTACATGCACTACCCTCTCCTCCAGGCCGAGCACTGCTGTGTTTCTGCCCAACAAGTATCACTGAACCTCAGAGCATCTTCCAAAGCAAACAAGCCCCTTGGGAGAAGCCCAGGAGGTGCCTTTACAAGCCAGGGGATAGCAGCAAGGGAGGAGATGCCCAGATTCACCAGTACTTTTCCAGCTTCTCCCCCCAACCCACCCCTTCAGAAGTGAAGAACCAGCGATGTCTCCTGGCAAATGCCAGGAGAGCTCTCAGCAGCCTCCAGAGCAAATAAAGGCGAGGGCAAGGGACGGTGTGTACCAAGCAGGAGAGGAGGGAGCTGCTCAGCTGCAGCCTTGCCAGAGCAAATGGGCTCCCCGCCTCAGCCCCTCTCCCCACAGGTCCTCCATCCATCACAGCAGCCATCCCCACCACCCCGTGCTCCCAGCCCTCCGACATCCCTGGAAAGCTGCCCTCCATGCCTTCATACCTACTTTGTAGGGCACCCCACTGGGGCTGAGTGAGGTGCTGAGATTGGAAGGAGGATTTCAACCTCTGTGTGGCCAAACCTTGCTAAATTAGGAAGCACAGCCCAGCCTGGCTGGTGCCTTGGCAGCACAGCACCCAGAGAGCTGTCATGCATGGGGAGGAGGGGAAAGGATGCACTGGTAAATTGGGTATCCATCCACGCTTGCTGGAAAAAAAGAAGACACCTTGTCCAACACTTTCTGTCCCAGCAAAGCCATTGGTCTGCCCAGCCCCAGGGAGCTGGTGGGCTGTGATGCCCCAGACACGCAGGTGGAGCAGAGAAGGGCAAGCGGAAGGGAGGCAGCGGAAGCCTTGGCAGGGGGACAAGTCCCCTCACTGGCAGGAGACAAACCGGGGGTGTTTCACTCTCCCGGCAGGCGGAAGGGAGCGGGCAGCCCTCACTGTCAGGAGTGGGATGCCACCGGCATAGTAAGCGGCCAGCTGAGCTCGTCTCTGCCCTCACACAGAGGGGCTCAATCCTGCCAAACAGGAACCGGGGGCGGGGGGACGAGGACAGCGTGATTTCACCAGCTGCACTCTCCTCCTGGCTCGCATCGCGGCCGCTGTTAGCTGGGCTGCCTGGCTCACTCGTCCTACAGAGTCCCTGCAACCGCCCAAATCGGGAGGGTGCAGAGGGCTCGTCCTCCTGAAGCTCATCTCTCAGCAGGATACAACCCCAAAGCATCCTGGATCCCTCCAAACCAGTCTGGGGGCTCTCAGGTCTGAGCAGGAAAGGGAAAAACTATAGTAGAGACCCCAACATTTGGGGGTGCTGGGGATGGGGGACCAGTCTCTGAAACCCCAACACATGCCTGTG